TTCCTTCCTTCCTTCCTTCCTTCCTTCCTTCCTTCCTTCCTTCCTTCTTGCCAACTCTCTACTTATTAATTAATTAATTAATTTGCTTTTTCAGACAGGGTTTCTCTGTGTAGCCTTGGCTGTAACTCACTCTGAACTCACTCTATAGAGCAGGCCAGCCTCGAACTCACAAAGATCTGCCTATCTTTGTCTCCAGAGTACTGGGATTAAAGTATTGGGATAGCACTGCCCAGCGGTATCTTCATTCTTACCAACTTGGAACTGTTACTGTGAGAGTAGAAACGATTCACTTTGTGTAGAGGTGCAGATACAATTTTATCTCTGTACTTCTGGAAAACATTAGAAATTACACATCTCTGCCAGTACTTCTGGCTGGAAGAGGCCTGCAAGCTGTAGGCAGGTTTCCCAGACTACTAGGATTATATTTAGGCCTTGATCTTATATTTGTCTTGATCTTAAAGTCAACTCAATTGGTTCTACATACTCCACACCCTCAGTTAAAGTCTGGTATATAGCAGAGGCTTACCTGGAACTCACTATGTAGTTGAGGTTGTCCTTGAACTACCTGCCTCAGTACTGGGATTGCAGATATGTGCCATGTCTTGTTTGTGTGGTGCTGGGGAGTGACTGAGCCTAAGACTTTATGCATGCTGGATAAGAACTCTGTCATTTGAACCATGTGCCCAGCCCAGCTTTTTGTTTGTTTGTTTGTTGATTTAAATAGTCTCATATAGCCCAGGCTAGCCTCAAATTTGCTATGTAGCTGAAGATGTTCTTGAATTTCTGATACTCTTGCATGCCCCGTGCTGGGATTACAGGTGTACACCACTATGCCTAGTTGTGTACGGAGTTAGAGATTGAGGCCAGGGCTGAGTAGCTGAGTATATGCTAGGCAAGCATTCTATGAGCTGAACTCTGGTGATAGCTACACTATACATACATACACACACACACACACACACACATACCACACACACACACATCTTATTATGTAGCCCTGGCCAGCCTGAAACTCTCAGTATGCAGTCTAGGCTGGCCTTGAATTTGTAAAGATCTACCTGCCCCTGCCTCCAGAGTGCTGGGATTAAAGATATTTATTTATTTATCGTTAGCAGGTATGTATATGGTGAGGGGGCATGTGTGCCTTGATACACACATTGCAGTCAGATAACCCTAGTGGAGTTGGTTCTCCTTGTACCATTATGTGGGTTCCAAGGATCAAACTCAGGTTTCAGGGTGTCAGACTTGTTTGGCAAATGCTTTGCCTGCAGAGCTGCCTTACCAGCACTGCCCCCCACCTCCTTAACTTAACAATTTGTCTTAAAAATAATTATACGTCAGCTAAACAAACTGTTATTTTATCAAAAACAGACTTTTGAAGTTAAAATACTACTATGTATATAAAATATCTATTAATATTTATTTTTCTTATTTACTGTTCTTTAACTATGGTCTTAAACTTTGTGTTTAACATAGTCTAAGAATTTGACAACCTTTTTGATTTTTTTTATCGTGTGTGTGTGTGTGTGTGTGTGTGTGTGTGTATACAGGCACTAGTATGTTCCATACTATAAATATGGTAGCCAGAGAGCATCCTGCAGGCGTTGATGTCTCCTTCCACCTTATGAGTCCCAGGGATCAAACTCAGCTTTCCATGCATGGAACCAAGTATCTGTCTGCTGAGCCACCTGACCGACCCTTGATAGCTATATATGTAGTAGAATAATACTTTATAAAGTTAAAAAATATTACTGATGATAGCCTTTGTAACATTAGAAAATTGGTCAGAAATAGCTGACAGTGTTTGGATACTTTATAATGTTGAGATAATTGGATTTTCAAACATTGTCCTAATATATTTTAATTAGTTTTTCTTTCCCTGACCTTTCTTCTCATCATTTTTCCTCAGACAAGGTCTCACTATATAACCCTAACTGGCCTAGAAATTCCTATAGTTAGCCTGGAACTCGGAAATCTACTTCCCTCTGCTTTCTGAGTGCAGGGATTAAACAAGTGAGCCACCATTCCCAGCTGGCCTTTCGAAGACAGGGTTACCTGAGTTCTTGAAGCTTTTGATACAGAACTGTCACACACAATACTGTATTAAGGATAAAGACATGTTTGTGATTTCAACATCTAATATTTGCTTGAGCTAAGTTGTTGGGCAGTCTCCTTTACCTCTGTGTTTGGATCTTTCTTTTCTTTCTTTCGTTTTTTTTCCATCTCTCTAGAAATGGAACGCAGAGCCTTCCACGAGGTAAGCAGACACTCCCAGGGAACTACAGTTTCATTCCCACATTCCTATGCTTTTACTACAGACGCTTTTCAAATACAAAGTCCAATATGGGGGCTAACAGATGGCTCTGTAGGTAAGAACTGGTACTGCTTCATCGGAGAATTTGTTTGGTTTCCACACACAAGTCAGGCGCTTGCAACATCCTGTAACTCCAGTTTCAGGGTTCTGATTCGCTCTTCTGGCATTCATATGTACAAACTCTCTCTCTCTCTCTCTCTCTCTCTCTCTCTCTCTCTCTCTCTCACACACACACACACACACACACACACACGTGAGTGTACCCCCACACCCCTCCCCAGCTCTGCATTCATATGTACGTACTCACATAAACACATAAGCACACACACAACTAATTGGATTTTCTTACTCACATAAACACATAAGCACACACACAACTAATTGGATTTTCTTGTTTTAGTGATACTGGAAAAAGTAATTTCCAGTGACTTCTTTTGTTTTATTTCCCAGCGTGACTGTGAAATACTTCGGAAAAGCATCCCATGCTGCCGCATACCCTTGGGAGGGGGTGAACGCCTTGGACGCTGCAGTTCTTGCCTATAACAACCTCTCTGCGCTAAGACAACAGATGAAACCAACCTGGAGAGTTCATGGTATGCACACCAAATATTTGTATAGTAACTAGTGCTTATTATATTTCAGTGCAGTAAAATTATTTAATACTAGATTTTTTTTTAATTGGGGGTTGGAAGCTAGGTGGCGGTGGCTCAAGTCTTTGACCCCCAGCAGAGGCAGGTGGATCTCTGAGTTCGAGGCCAGCCTGGTCTACATAATGAGTTCCAGGACAGCCAGAGCTATACAGAGAAACCCTGTCTTGTAAAGCCAAACAAAGCAAAATACCACACACACACACACACACACACACACACACACACACAGAGCTGGGGATGTAGTTCAGTTCATAGAATGCTCACCTTGAGTGCACTGCGTGCTGGGTTTGACTCCCAGCACTGCTTAAAGCCTGACCTGTCACACACCTTTAATCCCAGTCCTTGGAATCAGAAGTCCATGATCACCTTCAGCCACAGGTAAATATGAGGGCAACCTGGAATAAATGAGATTCTTTCTCAAAAGAAGTGTTGGTTACTAGTTTCACTTTCTCAGGGGCTAGTACACTCTTTTAAAACTCTGTGTATAGAAATATAGTAGCACGGTCTTTCCTGAAGGGTATACATTTTCTCCTATCCTGTCTGGGATTATACGCATGAGCCATGACACCAATTTACGATATCCTTTCCCTCCCCCACACCCTCCCTCCTTTCTTCCCCTCCCCCTCTTTTTTCTTTCCTTCTTTTGGTTTATTTCTGTATGATCTAGGAAATCATGCTTTAATCACTGTTTAATTCTGAAGAATACTCAGCTTTGCTGTATGCTGAAATCAGTTTGTAATTGTCCTTTTGCAAGTTTCTTGTCTTAATTTTCCTTTTTGGTTGGAGCAGCAAGTGGTTTGAGGTGGGTTCTCACTACATAGTCTGGGCTCTGCCCTCAAATTCATGCAGCTCTTTTCTGTCAGCCTCCTGAGTGCTGAGGTCGCCGGCCTGACCTATCTTGCTGCTTGCCTTAAATTCCTCAGAAGGGATAGGGGTGGAAAACTTTTAATTAGATGATTGGAAATTCAGGTTTTCTTTTCTCCTCCTCCTCTTCTTCTTCCTTCTTCTCCTCTTCCTCCTTCTCTTCTCCTTCTTCCTCCTCTTCTTCGTCCTCCTTCTTCTCCTCCATTCTCTTTTGTATATTTAAAATGAGGCCTTTCGCAACCCAGGCTGTGTAGCTAAGGATTGCCTTGAACTCATGATCTTGCTGTCTCTTCCTCGTAAATGCTGAGAGTGTAGAGTTGCACACCTGGCTGTGGTTAGATTCTCTATATGTCTTTTAGTTATCAATAGGAACAAATAAATCTTCATTTTATGTGGTCTCAAACAAATGTGTGTTTGATAGTTTACAGCACTTGGGGGTCTTTGTTCTGCTTTTGCTTCTAGACAAGACTGTAGCCAAAGGTCTGAGAAGGGATTGTATTGTCTCTAATTGGTATGAACATTATTTCTCCACCACTAAGTGTCATTTACAAGATTCATAGGGTTTTCAAGTGTGGTGATAGTTACAGAGCCTCATGCTGTTGTGAAGATTATGTCAAGTGGTTTTAAATTGCACAGCTGTAATAAAACCTATGGAGACAAATTTCCTCCGGAAAGTTTAAGATGCAGTTGGGTTTTTTTTGTGGTTACATAGTTCTGTATTTCTTTATAATCTGGATTATAATCTCTCCTTCCTCATCTCCTTTCTTCTTTTCTTCTTTCCAGTTCTGGGAATTAAACCCAGAATCTTACACGTGCTCGGGAAGTGTTCTGTTGTTAACTCGTTAACACAAGTTGTAATTGCTTAATATTAAATGGCTTCCTTAGAATAAAGTACATGGAGACAGTTTTCCCTTATTGGTTGGGACATAGGACCTCTCTGCGACAGTGTTTTGCAGCATGTCAAAATCTTTGCTTATCAGTGAAACTAATAAGAAATTCTTTTCCCTTTTATACTGGCTGCAAAACTTTCTTTAAACAAATCACCAAGTTTAACCTCAGTGATTTGGTTCTTTTTACAGGTATAATAAAGAATGGTGGTGTAAAGCCCAATATCATCCCCTCTTACTCTGAATTAGTCTATTACTTCCGTGCACCCTCCATGAAAGAGCTTCAAGTTCTGACCAAAAAGGCAGAAGATTCCTTCAGAGCTGCGGCTTTGGCTACAGGATGCACAGTAAGACATTTCAGAGTTAATTATGATCTCGGTTATGTGTGGGCTGTGGCTGCCCCTGTTGCATTAAAGACTACCTTGGTCCTTTTCTTCTTAGTGGTTTTTAGTTTGTGCTGGTGGTGGTGCTGGGGACCTGTCTCAGCCTTGCCCTCATTGCTGATGTCTTGACTCTGCAGAAGGAGTTGGCTAAATATTTGATGTGAACTCCTTTAATGAGTGTCGAGTGTGAAAGCCTTAAATTCTGACATATTTCTTCAGTGTCTGCAATAGAGAATACTGATCAGTTACCTCACTCAGACAACATCTGGAGTACTTAGCATAACACTGTGTCAGGATCCCTGCCTTTTGACATCACTTTGTGTGCTTCCAATAAGGGCACTTTATGACAGTATCTGAGTATGTCATTGGCAAGGGTATGATACAAATGTGTATAGCTTGCTGGGATGGAAGTCAAGATAGACTCAGAGCAAAGGAGAGTTTGTGGTGAAGTCGGATACATTTCAGTATGAGCCACGAGTGCTCTGACATGGGACAAGGTTCACAGTTACATAAAGTTCAAATACTGTAGAGCCTGGTTGGGGAGACAAGATCTTAGATGTTGCTTTTAGAGAGACAAGATCCGTGTGTCTTGTCCACTAGAAACATGGTATCTCTGGGGCTCTGTTTCTCCCTGGAAAAATAGGGACAACAATGTCATTTCTCCAGGATTCTTGAGAGGGACAGCTGAAGTAACATCTGTGAAGAGATCCCAGCTAGCTTCCCCTTTGTTCCATCCTTGATGGAGCAGTTGTTCACATGGTAGTGTGTCTGTCCTCACAGTGTGCACCTTTTGTCTTGAGAGTAGAATGGACACTGTTGGGTGGAGCAGAGCAGTTTAGAGAGTTTCCAGGAGGGGCCTGTAGCTTAGCCTGGTGAACACAGGACCCTGGGTTCAGTTCCCAGTCAACATGATGGGAGGAGAGTGTTTCCTGAAATATGCAGACCTGATTGAGCTTTGAAGAACAATCAGACTTCCAGATACATGGACAATAAAGAGATCTCAGAGGCAAGTAATGTGATTGGAAAGACAAGAATGCATAAATGTTCATCCTGTGTGGTGACTAGATAAACAGGTGGACAAGACGTGTGGAAGAGTAATGACATGTCCTCTTCAGCCATTGCAAAGAGATTGAGTGTACGACTACAAAGCTCCCACAACCCAGGGAACTAAACACTTATTTCCTTATAACTATAAATAATCTAAATATTTATAAGTTAGACACATGAACTATATCATTAGTTAATAGCTCAGTGTATTCACTGAGCCAGGGCTTAGGCGCTGGAGAGATGACTCAGTCAGCAAAGCACTTGCTTTGCAAACTGAGGACCTGAGTCTGATCTCCACAGCCCAGTTTCAAAAGGTCAGTGAGGTGCAGTGCACTTGTAAGCCCAGCTCTGGGGAGCCAGACACTGTCAGACTTCTGCACCCCACTAGCCAGCCAGCCTAGTGAGCCTGGTGAGCGCCCAGCAAAAGGAGAGGCTGGTTATGTCTCAAAACCCAAAGAGGATGGGCTCCTGATGACTGTCACCCGAGCTTGTTCTCTTATCTCCCACATGCACACACGTGTGCACAAACAAATGTGGAGTGCATTGTTAGATTGAAATAACAGCCTTTCACTAATTCATATTTTGCATTTATAAAATACGTTTGCCATTATTCCTACCTTAGATGTTGCCAAAAATAAAAGAAATCTGATCCCTGATGTTTGATGATTAGCTTTTTTGATTATTGAAAACAAAAACTGTTAAGTGCACCTACACTTACACTTACACTTACATCAGTAAGCAAGGCCATTTGAGTCTGCCTTACTGAAATGTCTGTGTTCTCTGTGGATCCTTTTGAAACAAGGCTGAGCGATATCAGGGACAGTCCTGTGTTTAGCGTATTAACTTGTATAGATGTTTTGTTTTTTCCTTTTGGAGACTGAAATCTAGAGCAGTATCCATCAGAGTGGTTCAGGATCAGAATGACTTGGAGGTTCAGGTTCTAAAAAGGAAGTTTCTGGGCACTCCCTATACCATTTTTAGGTTACTGAGGTTGATACTCTCTGGCCAGGATAGAATTTAGGAACTCTAACTTTATAATGCACTGGTTTTTTAAAGGTAAGAGATTTGTGAAAGTTTATGTCTAGGATGGAAAGTGTCCATCCTGAAACCATTTCCTGTTAGAAACCATCACTGTTTTGGACTTGAGTTTTTTAATCTCGAGCTTTGTTTTATAATTTTTTATTAGGTAGAAATTAAAAGTGAAGCACACGATTATTACAATGTCATTCCCAATAAGACACTGTGCAGTGCATATATGGAGAACGGGAAAAAGCTGGGAATAGAATTCATTTCAGAAGACGCAGTGTTGAATGGCCCTTCAGGTAACTAAGCTGTCATAGATTGAGCTGTTTTAGCCAGAAAAATGCGAATTTATATTTAACTGTCTTAAGAGGCAAGGAGGACTGTCACTGTGTCTTTCAAGTGGTATCTTGCTGTAGCCCAGACTGGCCTCAAAATCCATGCCTTGCGGACATTGACCTTGATCTTGACCCTCCTGCCTCTGCTTCCCAAATGCAGGGATTATAAATCCATGCCACCACCAGGGACTTATTAGATAGATGCTGGGAGTTGAACCCAGGCTTCGTGCATGTTGAGTAAGCACTGCCAACCCTGATGCTTTTTAACAAATGTGTGTGAGTATTTTGCCTGTGTGTGCATACTGTCTGTTTGCCCAGTGCCCTTGGAAGCCAGCACAGGGCATTGTATTCTCTGGAATTTGAGTTTATAGGCAGTTAGGAGCTACCATGTGGGTGTTGAGAACCAAGCCTGGGAGCTCTGCAAAAGCAGCAAATGCTGTAATCTGCTGGGCCACCTCCCCCCCAACAATGGTATTTTTACTGATATTCCTTCACACTTAGGTTATTGGAAAGAAGCTGCTGAACTCCTCAGTGAGTGTAGAGTGCCACAATAGTGGTCGTTTTTAAAAATTGGCAGTCTGCTAGGAGTGTTCTAAATATTTCTAGTGTCTAAATTTAATTCTATTTTTTTCTTGTGATGCTGGGATCAAACCCACAGCCTTATGTATGCTTAGCAAGTGCTCTGCCACTGAGCTGTAGCTTCAGCCTTTACTTCTAATCTTTAAATAAGCTACTAAAATGGGAGACAGGATTTTAATTCATTTCAGCTTACCACAGTAGGCAGGTTTTAAGTATTTAGTGATCTAGTGTGTGTTCAGGTTCTAAGGAGTCACCTATCTTACAGTTTAGCTATATTTGGGATTTACTTATTTATTGAGACCAGGTCTTCCTGTGTGTTGTCTAGGTTGGCCTTTGCCTGTGGTCCTCCTGCTTGAGGTTCCTAACGTTTGGGAGTACAGGCGTGTGCCACCACATCCAGCTTACTAGAGTTAATGTGTGTGTGGATGAATGTCACGAGATCCCTTGGAACTAGAGTTTCAGGTAATTATGAGCGTCTGTATGGGTGCAGAACATAAAATCCCTGGTTTTCTGCAAGAGCAGTAAGCACCCTATGCACTGAGTTATCCTCGCAGTAAGCACCCTATGCACTGAGTTATCCTCGCAGTAAGCACCC